GAGCTTGTTCTTGTGCTGCCATGATTAGTGCCTCTGTGCTGTCTTTCAGTCCAGCTTTGTCCAGCCACTGGTAGGATTTCTGGATATCAGCCACCTCCACTATCTGCCGGTGGTACATACCGTGCAGGGGCCTGTCCTTCCATGATGCTGATATATTACTGATATATTCGTGGATGTTTGTTGTCTCATCCTGGACTGTGGTGCTGACACTCACCAGTCCCCGGCCTCCTTCCTTGTGCCTCAGGCTGCTGGACTTGGAGTGAAACCCTCCATGCATGGTCAGGAGCTTCCTTGTCTTGATGTCAGTGGCTTCTATCTCCTCCTTTGGCCAACTTATTATCCCAGCAGGGTACCTGATCAAGGGCAGGGCGTAGGTGTTGATAGCCCGGTTCTTGTTCTTACCGTTCAGCTGACTTCTCAGAGCTTGCCTGACCCTCTGCAGGTACTTGGTGGTTGCAGCTGTTCTAGTGACCTCTTTATGGTTCCCATTTGTCTGTGGGATCCCCAGGTACTTGTAGCTGTCCTCTATGTCTGCAATGTTGCCTTCTTGTAGTTCAATCCCCTCAGTTCTCACTACCTTCCCTCTCTTTGTTACCATCCGACTACACTTCTCCAGCCCGAATGCCATTCCAATGTCATTGCTGTATATCCTGGTGGTGTGGATCAGTGAATCGATGTCTTGTTCACTCTTGGCATACAGCTTGATGTCATCCATGTACATGAGGTGGCTGACAACAGGTTATTGGTCGGTAGTTGGAGGGGACCGGTCCCTTCTGGGGGTCCTTGAGGATCAGGACTGTCCGGCCTGTCCGGTTGTCTCTCGTCAACTAGCAGCTGGTTCATTTGAGCTGCCAGGCGCTCGTGGAGTGCAGTCAGCTTCTTTAGCCAGTAGGCGTGAACATGTCAGGGCCTGGTGCTGTCCAACTCTTCATACTGGAGACCCTTTCTTGGATGTCTGCTATTGTGATTGTTACTGGACCCTGTTCAGGGAGGTCGCTGTGGTCTGCCTCAGATCCACTAGCCACTGAGCATTGCTGTTATGGGTTGCGTCCTTCTCCTATATGCTCTTCCAGTATTGTTCCATCTCCAGCTTGGTGGTGCTATTCTCATATTTTCCCCCTGCCACTGAGAGTACACCTTGGCTGGTTCTGTGGAGAACAGCTGGTTTATTCTTCTGCCTTCGATCTCTCTAGTGTACCTCTACAAGCGCCTGGCCAAGGTTGTGACTCATTGCTTGGCAGTTTCCAAGGCCTCAGGTATGGACAGCTTGCTGTACTTCTTAGGCACCTTCTTCATCGCACCTTTCTGCAGCACCGATAGTTGGCTAACCTCCCTCCGTGCTACCTTGATCTTAACTTCCAGCCTCCTTCTCCATGGAGGGTACTGCCCCTTGTGGCTGTTCAACTTGTCGCCCAGCATCTCACTGGTCACTGCTGCCTTAGTGTAGATCAGCTTGTTAGTCTCGGTTATGGTGGCCATAGGTATCGTCCGTAGTGCTGCATTAACATCATCTAGCAGACCTTCTGAGAGTACTTCACGTAGTCTTGGTAACCAGCTACGGGGGTCCAGGTTTCAAGCTTGGCCATGATCCTATCTTTCAGGTCAGTTCCCCTCGCACTCAACGATGCTTCTTCTATCGCACTTGGGGCTTGGTACCCAATCTCGGGTGGGGGTGATGATATCACCCCCCTGACCTGGCGTCCTGGCTCCCCCTTGCCATAGCATTTGTGTTGTACCTCGTCAATCTCTAGCTGTGAGAGCAGTCCCTTCTTTTGAATGTTGGAACACTGAGCTACTAGTTGTTTTGCCACCATTGTGGATGTTGGGTATCAAGGATTCCATAGGTCATCATCCTATTCATGTAACCCCTTCCACCAGGGTTACTTGCGTAGTAGCATTCCAACAATGGCCTATTTTCATGTCTTGCCCACCGATGCCTTCTTATTCCAGTAGCCCACTTCTCGTCAGGGTGCCCTGGGTCCTCAACACTTGAGGCGGATCTTGCTGATCAAATAAAGCAGTTTTTAATATGTGTTATTTTTGTGTTATTATCTCAAAACTTTATTTTAAGAAGTTGAAATATACAGTGAGATTTACTGTTTAAAAAAAGCTCTCTGGAAAAGAAAGAAAATCAATCAACAGTATAAATATAAAAATAAATAAATATATCCAAATTCTTTCAAACAAATAGTTATATATCATTAACTTAGTTATTATTCATTTCAGGTTAATCGCTCAGCATTTCAAATCAGCAACCACAAGGGTGTGCTATTGGCCTATTTGTGAACTTGACATGACACTGAGTAAAAACTTATTGGGCTGTGCAGTAAAACGCTCTGTCCACAGTTTAAAAGAAACAAAATAAAACAAAATACATTTACTCAAGTACATAACAATACGGGGATATTCCATTCTGCTTCTTGATACTATTCAACCAGTTCAGATTCTGTTTTTTATTTTTTACTTTGTAGACTCAGATTATTCATACAACATATTATAAACAAATAAATTATAACTAAGTATTATTGGTTAGGATAAGATGGAAGTTTGTAAATGAAAGAAAAAAGGGCACCATCGTTATCTGTAACAATAGGTCTAATGTATAAGCCAATACTACCGGTATAAAAATAATTTACTTGTGCTACTCTACCTTCAAAATAACAGCGTGAATAGTTTTCGTTCATAAATAAACCGTACAAAAGCACAATAAATTAAATTAATACTTGGTGTTCTGATTATTGTACTCTACTTATTGTAATCTGATACTTGTACTCTGCAATATTACCACTTGTATTTACTACGTGTTTCCACGGCTCCAGGAGCAGCAGCGTGCCGCCCCCTGTGTTACTATCAGTAGTTTGCGCCAGTCGGAGTTACGCATGCGCAGTGAGTGCGGGCGCAGCTTCGCCGTGGTTTCGGTTGAGAATTCTTGGCAACGTCTCACTTGGTGAACAGGCAGCAGACCGTCGGGCAACGGCTGTTTCCACAATGTCTGGAGGATTATTTTAACGGAGCTGGAAGTGAGCGGAAACCCTGGAGCAGCGAAAGGTAAGCCGTGTGTGCTCTCTTGGTTTTCACTGAGCAGTTTTGGGTGAGCAGCCGGGGATATTCAAAAGCGCTGAAAAGTGGCGAGCGAAGTGAACGTTAGTGAGCCAAAGCAAACATTGAGAGGAGAGGCAGCCGAGCCGAGCAGACCAACTTCAGTCAATGCGGAGAGCAGCCTCTTTACTACGGCTCAGTCGCGGTTCTCAGTCCCGCCAGGAGCCGTTTTCACCGGGTCCGTGCTCCACTTTGACCTCCAGCTTCTCAGCAAAGTATATACATACTCTCAAATGTGCCGTTGCACGCAAAAATTATTAAGGAGAAAATATTCCACAACCTTCGCGATCCTTAAGGGGCCAGTGCGCATGCTCATGGGGCTCTGCAGACTTCGGATTTGTAGTTTTTCGTACCTGAGTTAATCACAGTTGCGAGGGCCAAGAGAAAAACGGTAAAACTACAAGTTCCAGACAATGGGAGCTTTGTTTGGGAGCCAGCTAGTTAGCCTGGACGAGCTTTGAATTTCGAGTAGTTTTTCCTACAAACGGAAGTTGCCTTGGCTGGATATTGGATCCAGCATGAGCGGCATGGGAAATATTTTGGCTGCACCGCATATTTAAGGAGGAGGGGTGGGGGGACGAGTTCATTAGTTGTAGATGGAAGTGGTTTGTCATGAAAGGGTATGCAACACGTTTTAATTGATTGTGCTTACGCGTGTGTGTGCATGCAGACGCTCAGCTGTCAGAGGACCTGTGTGCAGGATTTGTAAGTGCATTGTAGATATGCATGCTTCTGTGTGTGTGCTTAGTCGATTGTGTGTACGCAGAATGGGAGATGATAATGCCTCGGTGTGTGTGTCATCTCCCTTTCATTGAGATCCTCCGTGTTGCTGCTGTACCCCCTCCACCCCCAAAGCCCTCAGAAAACGACACGTCGAGTATGAGGATGATGGATTTTGTCGGGCAAGAGCAGCAGAGCATGGCAGCACTGCACATATTCAAGGCATCATTTGCTGTGGTCGCCTCTCGTCTGGAACTAATGGAATAATGATTACCAGGAAAATGTGAGAATCATGTGCCAATGCCTTAACCTGGTTATCCTGTACTGCCCACTGTTTGCTGTACTATTGGGGAAATCCTGTATTTCACGTCCAGTTTAAGGGGAAATCAGGATTGGATGTTGCCTGTGCTGTTCACTGTAGTAACGACATGGTTTTCCTCATTGTAAATACAGTTTTTGAACAGTGGATGTACACCGAGCTGCAAGAGTCAGCCATTCAGTGATCTGTGTTTCCGTTGTTTTCATCCTTTCCATGGGTGTTTGGAAAGCTTGCATATTAAAAGCCAAACTAAGCACAATGGCTATTTTTGGTCAAGGAAAATATTAGGCAGTTGCTTTAGCTGGGAATCCGAAATGCATTATAGTTATCGACTGAGCAAAAGTTATGTACCCTCTTCGCAGTATAAGATAAATAGAAACTGAATGGTGAATGCAAACCTGGTGAAACTGTATAATTAAAATATACCTAACATACAATATATAGACTCAATATGTATTGGGCCACCTACACATAATACCTACAGAAGCTTTTAAATCTTTCTACAAGATTTTGGAGGATGCTGTTGGGAATTTGTCAGGTCAGACACTTCTGTGAGCAGAGGCCCCCATTCTAGTTCATCCTGAAGGTACCGTATTTTTTGGATCATAAGGTGCACTGGATTATAAGGCGCATTAAGCGGAACAAAACAGTCAGATAAGACAAACTTTACTCAACTCATTCTTCTTGCTTACGCTACTTCCGTACCATTGATTCATTAATGTTGAATTCTCTTGCAGCTACTCTATTCCCATGTTGTTGCAGTATATTAATGACTAACCTCGTATTGTGGATGGATTATCTCAGTTGTTCTCCTGACTGACGTTTGGTCCGTTTACAGCATCCTGCCATGCGCTTGATTGCATTTGTCCCCAACCCTCAGGAACCCTCACGTTAATTTCTGTTGAGCAAAAAAAAAAAAGGTTAGCATTCATCCTCCAGCTTCACTGTTTATGTTATGCTAACATAGCTGTGTCGCTAGCGATCACGTAGTGCATCATTATATACCAGCTAGCCAAACTTCAGTAACCCTACAAACGTCACTGCTTTTTAGTTTTCTGTCTTCATTTATGTTGGAAGTGATAGCAGAGCTGTATGTTTTAAATTTTTTTGGAAATCTCTCAGTCAGAACATGGTATATCATGTTTATGTGGAAACTAGCGAGCTAACTTCCTGCTTCTAACTTCTAACTCCATTAAATTTAATACATTCTGTTTTCATGGATGCCTGGATGTTAAACTTAATTGTTACACCTAGTAAAGCAGCAACGCTCATCATTTTATTAAAGATGAAAGAATTTAGACGGTTTATAACTCTGAGTGATGCCGCAGTGCTCGCTTGACTTTGGGACCTGAAGAGGACAGACTTTTTTGGACCCAGATTACTCTGAGTCTGTGAGGCTCCTGATTACAGTAGCCATAATGCTCTGACAATCCATCAAGCAGTACGGCTTCGTAGCTTACCAAAGTCATACTAAAACATTTTTTGACAGATTTTTGAGTAGGGCTGTGCAATATGACCAAAATCTCATATCCCGATATAAGACATTTATCGTCCCTACAACGATATATAGCACAAAAATTTTACATTTTCTGTAAATTCTGTGAATCTTGGGTAACTCGACTGGCGTGAAGAAACCTGGCGGCTCTTTTTTGCTCATCCGTAAACATTCTGCATACTATTTCACGTGATTCATTTTATTTTGAAGAATCTCAACAGGATCTTCAGCTTTATTGTGAAAGGTTTATGTGGAAAATAAACAAGCGGATGGAGCCACGTGATCGTTGTTGCTAACGACAACGCATAAAAGCAGTTGCTTGTCCATCCATTGTCAGAATCAGAGAGACTTTATTTATCCCCAAGGGGCAATTAAGTGTGGTTGTTTTAAATATAAGAGGGAAAGCTTTAAGAAATTAAAATTAAATATTGCCTACAGTGCTGTAGGTACATCTTAGCTGCAAACCCCTTTGAAACCCTACGCTATGCATAACCTGGCGTACACTTCTCTGGAAATTTAACTGGATATTGAATTGATGCAGCCCGCAACTATTGACTGAAAGGGCTGTTCATTACAGCTGATTCGTCTTATGTATTTCCGCCTACTTTTTAGCCTTAGTTTTTGAATTTATCATTGAGACGATAACAGTCATAGCCTCAATATAAGAACTCATGCATGTCAGTAAGTTCTTGAAGGGAAATTGGCAAACCTATGGGAGTGGATTTGAGGAGATGTACAAAGAAGTGGAAAAACTTGAGGGATAAATGTTTGCCTCTGGGAAGAAAAAAAAAATATACCCACATTAAAGAGAAGGGACCCAGGAGGGGAAAACAAGCCAGAAGTTTATTTGTTTCTATTGTGGCATGTATAAAACACTGGGGACGTGACCAGAAGCGCAAGCATGCTGGCAACAGCACTGGCCACTTACGTAGGTTACATCATAGGCTCTGTAAAGATTCAAATCAACTGTCAAAGTGTTTGCGTTGAAGTTATGATCTTAATGCCAGAGGAGGTGTGAAACTCATTGAGTCAGCAGAGAGTTGGTGACTTTCACACACGATGCTTCTTAGCACTCTGTGACCCCACTCTGTAACTGTCAACTGTGGTTGCCACTTTGTGGCTGAGTTGCTGTGGTTCCTAATCACTTCCACTTTGTAATACTGCTTAAAGGTGGCCATGGAATATTTATACTTGGTTTCATTTTTCTCCAGATGGGTGAAGTTGTGTTAAAAAAATTGCAAGCATTAACGACCTTCAGTCTTATTTTAGAATTATTTGTATATCTGCCTGTTTTGGAGATGTGTATACTTTCAAATGCAAAAACAGTGACACCAAAAGATGTTCTTGATGAGCTGCTTAAGGGACCTTTTATGAACCTGTATACAGGGGGATGCAGCCACTGGTGTGAACTGACCCTTTTCATGTGCCAGAGTAGTAACTTGATAATGATGTCTCTGTTCTGTGAACATGCCTCAGTAATAACTTTACAATATGAGGGGGATGAGGAAGCTAAAGTGAATTAGCAACTTTTAGCTAAAGCTGTGTTGTTGTTTTGTTTGGGGTTTTTTGTAAGGAAAGAGATTTTTCAGAAAAAAGGCTGTTGAAGTTTGTTGTCTTGAAGCTGAAAATCGTTGTAGTTTAAAGTTACAGTCATTTGTTTTTTGGGGTTATTTGAAAGGGGGGAAAGTGATACTCTGAAATATCCATGTATTAATTATGTCTTCCAATAACAGCATTCTCATAAGCTTATGCTTATGAGGAAGCTGCCTTGTTGAATACAGTGGTGTAGATAGACATTTTCGTTCTGCCTAACGGCGTTATATGTATGTAGCTACAGAGCAACCACATGCATAATATGCTCAATATTGTCAGCAGATGCAACACTCCATCACCAGAAATCTGACAACGAGCCAACTAAACAACAACAGCTGTATGCAAGCTGCATTTTGCATACAGCATTAACTGTTTAAACTTCACCTTTCCTATCAAATTATGTTGATACAGCTGTAAGAATTCATGTGTTTCACCTGCATGCATTTTATCTAAAATACGTTTCGCTGAGTGTGACATGGGCTTGGAAAGTCTTGTATGGTCTTTTGTGTCTATCTAAGCATGTTTTTGTTTCTCTTAAAGCAATGATATCACGTTAATTTGCGTTGACCTCATAACTCATGACCCATGTAGGATTGTTGCAAAGCGCCTACAGGAGTCAGTTTGTAGCAGATAACTCTTGCTTTCAGTCTGTGATCTTTTAAGACATCCTATATTTTCTGCTACATATTTTTGGTGTTTCATTGCATGCAGCTGCAGGAACAAAGACTGCTGTCTTCAAAGGGAGGTGAATGTGGACCACCTGAGTTATTTCGCCTGTAAACATTTTGTTGAATCACAGCATTCTATCTTGGCAGAGGTGAC